GGGACGAGTCGGCGGGAAGCCTGTCCCGCATGTACGGGGCGTTCAGGGCCTTCAACCCCGCCTGGGCCGAGACCCGGCTCCTCCTGGTGGGCCCCGGCCTCCCCCAGCCGCCGGCGCTCGCCCAGGCCTTTCCCGCAGCAGAGGTGCACCTCTCCGTCTTCCACCTCTGCAAGCGCCTGCAGCCGGCTGGCCTTGGAGGGCCGCGCCGAGCGCCTGATCCTGGCCGCCCTGAGCGACACCATGTGCGCAGCCACCGAGAGCAGCCGCAGGAAGATGCACGCCCTCCTGGGGGACCTCGTGACACCGGACTTGCTGCCTCAGCTCCATATTCACTGGCTGCTTGATGATGAGATCTGGGCCGTGCACAGGGAGAGGACGTGGGGGGACAGCAGTAACTACTTTAGGGACCTGGAGGTGGTCACCCAGGGGTTAAGCCAGGTTTTCAGCACTGGGCTCTCTCTGGAGAGCTGCATCACCTCCTTAGCCCAGCACTACCAAAAGTGTGTTTCTAAGAGCCCTCCTGATACCGCGACGTGCTCCACTACCCGTCCTGATCACCGTGCTGCTCAGGCAGCTCCCCAAAGCCTGCCTGCCTTGGGTCTGCCTCTCGCCCCTCTGGCATGCCAGGGGAAGCCATCTCAGAGCTCTGTCCAGGCCTGCCCCACCACGGCAGCAGCTCAGCAGCAGCAGCCGGTGGCGGCCTCTCTCACAGCTGCTAAGAGCCCCGTGATTGTTCTCCAGAGTCCACCGGCAGCTCCTCGGCTCCCCACGGCTCTTCAGCGTCATCCTGAAATCCCCCAGGCTCTCCTCCTCCTCCGGAACGAGCCCGCGAGCCCTCAGTCCTCATTAGATCCTTCATCTCCTGTGGCCAAACTGGAGGCCACGGAAAACCCGGAGGGTGACAGCGAGGAGGAAATTAACCGAAGGACTGAAGAGCTCATCAAGCAGTCTTTGAGGGATATTTGCGCGGAGCCTGCTGCCAGGCTGTGCCTGAGCGAGTTTGCGGTGGTTCAGAAGTCCGTGCAGCTGATAGGCGCCGGGGAGGACGCTCTCAGCATACAGGTCCTGGAGGATGCCCACAGGGTGGACCTGAAAGGCCTGAGTAGCTGCACTTGCCACTTCAACCAGGTCTTCCAGCTGCCCTGCCGGCACATCTTGGCCGTGCTGAATTCGGACAGGAAGACCTTGCAGCCAGAGATGCTCAGCAGACAGCGGCAGAAGGGACGCGATGCCCATCAGGCCGGGCGAGACAGTGCTGATGGCCTCTTGGAGGTCCTGAAGAGCTCCTGGAACAAGTCCTTGGATAAATCCCTGGTGGTGTCCTTCCTCACGGCGGAGATCAGCCGGCTTCTCACCCACTGCAGCAGGGAGGAGTTTGAGTGCAGGTACAGGACCCTCCGGGAGCTGGCTGACAGCTGGATCGGGCCCTACGTCGAGGTGAAGCTGTAGCGCCGAGTGGGAGCCGAGCTGGCCGCTCTGTGTGCGGGTCCTCGGGAGCAGCAGGGCAGCAGATGTGCAGGAGGCCTGTTCATCACTCCACCGGTGTCCCAGCTTCCCCCTTTACTCCCCTCAGCCTGTCACTCCCTCGGGGCTCGGCATGGAAGGGGCAGTTTGGGTCCTTTATCTGCCGAGCAAGCATCGCCTCTTGCACGGGGCAGCTGAGGAACCGGATTGGGAACTCCAGACCGCGCTGGAATGGGTAACCAGCCGCTGACCTGGCTAACAGGAGATGTGGCTGGGAGCCAGCCATGGGTGGTGCGGCGTGGGAGATGATGGTATAATAACATGTGACAAAATTACTTGATCTGTGGCCAGTGCCTGCAGGTCTTTCCAGCATCCTGCTGCGATGTGTTGTGCAACAAAGCCAATAAATCGGCCTTGTATCGCTCAGGAGCTGTGTCTTGTCTCTGCGCCAGCTGCGGCCGCCCCTCCCTGCTGGCAGGAGGGGACGGTGGGGCTCGCTCGGCTCATGAGATCAGGCAGGGCTTTGAAGGGCGCTTCTTGGTGGTCTTGCCTCGTTGCGGTGCCCTCCAGTTAATGGAGCGAGCCTGCTTGTTAGGAGGCAGCAGATCCGGAGGGTGGCAATCTCCGCTGCCGGCCGCGCAGCCCGCGGTCTGGAGCAGAGGAGTTGTTTGGTTACGGCAGCTGCTCTCAATTCCTCAGAAAGGGGAACCCGCCCTCCCTCGTCAACAGCTCGTGTGCTGGGGGAGGTGGGAGGGATGCTGGGGGTCACAGCAGTGCAAACAAAGCTGCGGTGAGGTGGAGAGCAAAGGCTTTAAACGCATGAGATGGGGTGGGGGAGGAAAAAATACCAAGAAGAGCAAACAAGCTCCAGCCCTTGGGCGTTGCTCTTGGGCTGGGTGAGCTCCCTGTCCCCCCCTCGCCAGCAAGAGCAACTCCAACACCAGCAGCTCCAAAGCCCATCGTGCTGGGACGCGGCAGGCTGCGTCCTGCGGGACGTGGCACGGGGGGGCGTCGGGAGTCCTCACTCATTGCTGTGGTTCAGTCACCGTCGGCGTTTTACCCGATCAGCGCTTCCTTCATTAATGCTTTGGTTTTGGTAGAGTTGGCCCGTCGCAGGAATAGGACTGCTGCGTGGTTCGGGATTTCCTCTCGATCGAGGGTTTTGTAACATTATCTGATACTATCGAATCTCTCTGACTAAATATAGTGTAGTGTTTCCTAAAACACCTTTCTGTAAACTTGGAGCTGCTCATTTCACCCCTCAGCCGTGCTGTTCGAGAGGCCTGGAAGGCCCTGCCTGCTGGCCCCCTTGCCATCTCTCTTCCTGGCGTGTGTGGGCACCCCTCTGATTTTCGGAGGGCTCTTTCCTCTGCCTCTTGCTCTGTGCAGCTCCGACCCTGCCTCCCCTCCCAGCCCGGCACAGGCACTGCGGGAACGCCAGCTGCCATCCCCACCAGCCGGAGGATGAGGTGTCTGGAGGAGGGCCCAGTGCCGGCTCCCGGAGCTGGGGAGCGCTGGGCTCCCCTCCCCAGCTGGCGAGGCGGGGTAGCTGGACCCTGCGCCGGGTCGCTGTGACCAGCTCCATGGCCACAGACACGTGCTTGAGCAACGGCTGCTGCCAGCGCGGCTCCCTGGGCACTGCGGGTTTCCCTCCAGCATCCGCCCCGTCCACCTCCCTGCTGGGAGCACAGGAAATAACTCATCCCCGCTCTCGGGGTAAACATCTTTCCCAAGAGCGAAACTGCCTGGCTGGGACAAGTGCCCAGCTGTAATTTACCCTCTGCCTGAGCGTTGGGCCGTGCCCTCCCACGCTCCACTCGGCCTGACCCTTGCTCTGATCCTAGGGCAATCCTAGCTTCATTCCCGGGCCACGGACAGGTCCCGAGCCCAGCAGCGTTGAGGGCCGTGCTCGCAGGCTCACGGGCCCAGCTTTGTTCCTCGCTGGAGGGTGAACCGCTCCTACGAGTGGCTGCTGAAGCGCGGGAGGGTGCCAGCCCCCCGAGCCCTCCTTTGACAGAACTCTTCCCACCTTACTGGAAGGCAGCTCCCCTGAAGCACCCCCTACAGCCACACGAAATGCCCTGACGTGGAAGGGGAAGAAGGTCCCCTTGGCTGGGGACTAAAATACCCAAAGCCGCAGCTTCCTCCCCCAGATGGGAGCCCCCAGAGCTGCCCAGCGCTGGCCTTGCCCCATCGAGAACTGGTCTGGTGCTGGGCACACGCCAAGGCCTCATCCCGTGGGGATCCCACGGGCGGGGCTGGGTCTCCTGGCTGCAGGGGCTCTGCGGGTCCTTCGGTACCGGCTCGACCGGCATCCTGGTGCACGGGGCCTCCTGCTGCGGGCAGTGCCAGCTGTCAGCACGGCCCCGACGGCAGCGGGCCTGGCGCGGGTCCGGCAGCAATCGCCACTCCCCCTGCGTTGCTGCATGCGCCAGCACTCCCCACAGCACGCTCGCTTTCTGGCTGGAAGCGCTTTATTGCTCGCTCTGCCCTGTGCCACCCTCCTGCCCCCGCGCCAGCCCTGCCGCACCTGTCTGCACGGAGGAAAGTCCCTCCGATGCTCTGCCGCGCTGCCCGGGCTCTTGCGTTGGCCCTTTGGTAGCACGTGCCCTGCGCACAGGCGCCCTGGGGGCAAGGGGGGCTGCGTGCCGGTGGGCCCCGGGAGGTGGAGGGGGCAGCGGGGGGCACAGATACTGCCCGGGCAGCCTGCCGGCCGTTGCTGGGGGGACTGTTGGCACGGGGGACGGCCCGGGGCAGCGCCCTCAATGCCTCACTCGTGTTTGCAGAAGCTCTTCAGCGGCGGGGGCAGGTCCAGGCCATCGATGGCCAGGCGGTGGACGATGTGCTTCTGGATGACCAGCCGGCAGAGGGTCTGCAGGGAGGGGACTGGAAGAGAACAGAAAGAAGCAGCTGAGTTGGCCGAGTCACCGGCAAGGCCGAGAGCAGAGGGGTGCGGAGGAGATGGGCCCCGAGGCTCCCCGGAGGCACTGTGTTTTAGGGCAGCGGTGGGTGAGCTTGCTCTGCGGCAGAAGCAGGCATCGTCCTGCCCTGGGCTCGAGCCAGCTGTGCGGGAGAGCCGGCGCCAAGGTACTCCGGCTGGGACAGGAGCCTGAGGGCCCTGGGCTGTGAAGCTCTTCCCGTTACCGGGAGGAAGGTTGGGGGACAGTTATATGCCCAAGCCGTGCGTTACCATGGCTGGTTTGCATTTGTTTTCCCTGGGGGCTGTCGAGCGGCTCCCTGGGGTCTCACACGCCCACACTGTGCTTTCCTTCCAACCTGCTCCGCTGGTCCGCTTCCACTGGCGCCGGCGCCAGGCTGCCGGGTGGGCGCCCGCAGGCCGGGGCTGTGCTGCCTGCAGAGACAGCTCCGGCGATGCCTTTGAGACAACCATCTTCTGAGCCGTTCCCGTGGCCACCTGCGCGGGCTCTGCCCGGTTCCTGCTCCTGTGACACGCGCCCCTGTGGGATTCCTCTTTCAGGAGCCCTTGGTGGCTCAGCGGCGTGGGTGCAATTAGCTGCGGCCAGTGCTTTCCTCAGATTTTAAACAAGAGCTGACTCGGGCGCAGCCCGTGGGCCTTGGTTCATCCGCTGCCTCCAAGAGCCGAACCGGAGGAGAGCACCCCAGGGCATCGTGCTCGGCCGGAGCGGAGCCACGGGTGGGACCTGGCCATTTCGCCTGCACGTGGCTGAGCACCTCTCTGGCTGCGGGGCCGGTGCCTCCAGGGGCTCGTGCCGGCACCGGGCAGAGCAGAGCTCTGCCAAGCACAACCGCGCTGTGCCCAGCCGGCTCCTGACCTTGGGGCTGTTTTCGGATGGCTGGAGTGCTTATCTTCACCTCGGCGGCGCAGGGCTGCGTAATGCTGAGTGCTGGGTGACTAGTGGCAGATGCCCTTTGCCTCTCCTGCTCCCTGCCCCCCCATGCCGCATCGCATGTTGCCGGCGGCTCAGCTGCTCACTTCTGGTTTTCACTTCACCAGCCGGACCCCGGCCAGGAATAGAACTGCACTGAGACCGATTTTTAAACCCTACGGAAGTGTTGCAGAAACCGGAGCTACTGAGATCTTTGTTGAGGGCGGGAAGCTAGATTGCACCTCTGCAGCAGTGCCTGCGCCAGCCCCGGTGCTCGCGGGGACCCACGGCCTGCGGTGCGGTGGGAAGGGGGCAGCTCTCCCAGAGGTACGTGCTACCAGCGCCAGTCTATCCCGAGCGGCCGGGGACGGGCCCTCTGAGGCGGCTCAGCGGCCTCCTGCAGCGTGCTCCGGCCGGTCGCCCTCAGCACACTCCCGGGGCAGGGGGGCCTGGGTGGCCGGGCACATTTAACCTCCCTGTTTGGATAACCCGGCTCGCAGCAGCTGGCAGGGAGAATCCTGGATTTCAGCCTTGAGACAGAAGCGGCTGAACTTTGTGCCAACGAGAGAAGCGGTGGCTCCCGGCGGTCGGGGGCAGCCGGCCCCTCGGCCGTCAGGTCTGGGCTTGTTTCTGTCTGCGGCCTTGCACCCAGGGTGCAGACAGCGAATTATCCTGCTGATGTAAAGCAAAGGTGGCACGGCAGCATGACAGCTCACGGCTAGCCACCGTCACCCAGGCGCTAGCTCTCCTCCTGGCTCTCCTCTCACCTGATCCTCGGCATCTGCTGATTTTTCCAGTATGGTGCTAATTAGCACTTATTAGCCTGACTCCACGCAAGAGCCAGCGACCAGCGCCAGCCTTCCTGGCCCCTCCCCAGCCGGCTGTGGGATGCCGGATATTGCCCAACCTCCGATGGCATCACGGAGCGCCTGCCCAGGGCACCCCGCAGCCGGGGCACGCGGCAGGCGCGGGGGCGCGGCGTACGTGCCGAGGTGGGCAGCGGGGCACAGCCGGATGTTTTGATGCCAAGGCAGGACGTTGCTTGGCTCCGGGCTGCTGCGTGCCCGTGGGGCGAGGCTGGGCACGGTGAGGGCTCGCCAGCCCCCAAGAAGCAGCTCCGTGAGCACCGGCATTGGGCTCCGGTCGGGGGGATGGGATCCCCATCCGTCTGGCTGGGGATGAGCGTGGCACTGCGGGGGCACAGCTCCGCGGTGCCGCAGCCCCCGGTCCGGGGCAGCCCAGAACACCCGCCCCCATCGCTCCGCTCGGGAAGGGCGACCAGGCTGGGCTCTGCCCCGACCGCCACTGCTGGGAGCTGGTGCGAGCTCTCCCCCAGCCCGGGTGCAGCCCCGCGTGGCAGAGCTTTTGGGAGACACCACCTGTCAGTGGCAGTGTGGGGTCTCGCCCGTGCTCCGCAGGGGCCGGGGGCTCTCCTGTGCCCTCTACCCCGCGTCCCTCTGCCCCGTGGCACGCTCTGACGCTCCCACTGTTGGGGACTATGGGGTGACCCCACCGGAGCCCCCTCGCGCCCCGGCTCCTGGCCCTTGCAGGACATGCCCCAGGGAGGGGGCAGGTACCTACAGCCATATTCCACCGGGATGACCCGGACGCTCTTGGTGGAGGCGAAGACGTCGACCACGGCGTAGAGCGGGCGGGCGGTGGGCAGGTGCCTGGCGCTCGGCCCCATGTCCTCCCCGTTGATGACGATGTGCATGTCGGCGGTGCCGTCGGGCTGCGGGGCGTACAGCACGCCGATCCGGCTGCGCCGGGCGGTCGCAGGCAGCACGTTCATCTTGTACAGGTCATCCAGGATGTGGCTGTAGCGCCCGGGCCTGCTGCGCCCCACCAGCGTGTCACGGGGGATCCTCACCTGCTCGATCAGCAGGAAGGGCTCCCAGTGGGGGCCCCGCGCCCGCGCCGGCGCCTCCTCCCCGTCCGCCGCGACACGGTTGTGGCTCCGGGTGATGGCGAACACCCAGGTGTCCCCCATGTTGACCAGGTCCGGGAGCGAGTACTCGGGCACCACCTCCAGGCTCTGGGGGTCGTGGGCCGTCAGCCCCACGCGCAGGTGCCCGCACCAGCCCAGCTCCTTCTCCTCGATCTCCACCAGGAAGATCTGCCCGGGCGCCAGCGGCTCCTGGCTGAAGCAGAGCCCGTTGGCGAAGCTCTCCACCCGGGTGGCCCGCGTGCGCGAGGCGTTCAGGCGGACGTTGGCGCCGTGGACGCGGTGGAAGCGTGC